GTCCGGGGTGAAAGACTGAAAACCTGCGCGGATAGGTATCGAGTCTTCCGGTTAATACCGGTAAAAATGACAATTTGGTAGTACTAGTACAGTCTACTTGCAGACACCGACCTAGAGATTACCAGAGTCGTATTTACCGCCCTTGAAATAAATTGTTAAGTTTTAAACAACTAAAATTGCATGACATCATTGAGCACGATGGTTTTCAAAAGATGAAAATGTGATTTATCTTCCAAAAAAGCATAGTATGGCATGTGCATTTCATCTCTTGAGACTTGTATAAAATGTATATACTTTGTTAAGAATTTCCTACTGGTTTTATGCTCACCCTACGAGATTTTTGTACAGGAAAAGATGTGGTGATTCCACCCAACTAGGGGCGTAGAAGTGTGTGTGTTGGGAGTACAATACTCTCATTTTGCGTGACTCTGTTTTGTAAGCCAATGGCTGTATTTGTGTGGGTTTGAATAACCGTTTTGTGTAATCGAGCTTAAGCCTTGGAAACTTGTAAACCCTTGAGGGTATCTATTTATTTGTTTTATTTTATTTTGAATTGAATGTATTATCGCATGAGAACTATTTGTGTCATGTAATGCAAGTATGAGAATTTATTTCGGTTTTCTTTTAAAGAACTATGATGGTTGTATCAATATTTGGACTTAGAAATTGGGGTGTTACAAGTTCTATAGTAATTGTTATTTTAGCAAAACTGTTAGGATAATCACATTAATATACCAAAAATTGTTTAAAATCTCATAAGTTAGCATTGTGTTCATTTGGTGGGTTCATCACTTATATTTGTTACAAATGCAGTAACAATACATGATAAATAAAATGTGATAAGACAATGTAATCATTATAATATTATATTTATTCATTGGAGTTTGCCTTATCTCAAGTTAGCCTTTTGAGATCGATTTTGATAATTCGAATAGTTTATTTTTAAGGATTCGTTAAATATATTATTTATGTAAAAAATCAAGATTATCAGATATCGGTATTTATCTGTTTGAATGAATTTTATGTTAAAAAATGGATGCACTTTGAATTTTTTTAAGAAGTAGTTAATGGTATATACTTTTATTTAATGCACTTTGAATTAATCTCTGTGTAATTAATAATAATAATAATAATTTTTTAAGTAAAATGAATAGAATTTAGTGCATTATGGTAGAATTTTTTTTTTTTTTGGCATTTACACACAAGTTCTAATTTATGAATTTATATCCTATTAAGTTCTAACTAAGATTTTTTGGACCTTCAAGTCTGATTAAAATTTTCATAGTAGAAATTGTTCTTCAAATAATGATTGTTCATAATTTATGATTATCGATAAAAGAACATGATGATTTGACATTATTTTAATTTTCAAAACTTTAAAATATCAACTTTCAAATTAAAAAAAACTATATTAAAAAAAAATTATGTACAAAAGAAAAAAAAAACTATATTTTTTTTTGAAAAATTGAATTATTTTTTTGCGCAAAACTGCAAATTTAATATCTATAAAGAAGCATGATGATGAAATATTGATGTGCAAAAATGAAAAAAAAAATTTAAAATGAAAACCTGATAATGTTATCGGTTTTAATAGATAGTTGAATCAAACCTATAAATAGAAAGGCAAAAACGTTTAATCTCATACTCTATTTTTTTTTTTTATCAGTTAGGCCTCGTTTGGAAAGTAATAGTTTTAGCCTAAAAAGCAAAAAATTACTAAAAAAATCAAAAAGCCTATAACCTATAACAAAATGTCAAAAATTCTATTTTCTCTCTATTTTTTGCACATCTTTTCGTAAAAAATCAAAAAGTCATTCCAAACATACGAATTTTTTTTACCTCATATTTTAACCAAAAAGCCAAAAAGTTACGAGGCTTTAGTGAAACAATTATCTGGAATAATACTATGCAAAATTGATAGTGTTTTTAATTTTAAAATTTAAAAAAAATGATAATATTCTTAGTTTTACTAAATAGGACTTATTGGTTCAAAAAATCTTACATAGGACCTGAGCTACCATAACATTTGTAAATAGGACTTTTAGGTAATTAATTATTTTATTTTATTTTATTTATTTATTTATTTTTTTTTTTTGAGGATTGCTATTCATATCCAAAAATTAAACTTACTTTCTAGACCCAATGATGTGGCACTATATTAAAATATCTAAGTCAACTCTCTCTCTCTCTCTCTCTCTCTCTCTCTCTCTCATTTATTCTCTAATTATCAACCAATCATCTTATTGACACATCACTGAGTCTAAAAAATGAGTCTACGAAGTGGACTTGTATATTATTTATTTATTTATAATTTCTATTATTACCTTCTACAACTACTTAAAACTAAGGAAAATTAGTCTAAGGTCCCTCTCCCATTTTTAATAATGGAAGAGATCCACAATATTATTTTATGATGTCTAAGGTCCCCCAATCCCCAACACCCATATATCACAGAGAAATTTGATTCTCTTAAATCAAACTGCCTCTCCTTTTCTTCTTTTCTCTTTGCTCTTCTCTCTTCGACGAACTCTACCTCCATCATCGGAGTTCATCATCGTCATTTGTACTGGACCGGACCGGATACAGTAATCAAGTATATGACAGATGGTATGCTTCTGAGAGAGATTTTGATTGATGAGAATTTATCTGAGTATTCAGTTATAATGCTTGATGAAGCTCATGAGAGAACAATCCACATTGATGTCCTTTTTGGATTGTTGAAGCAGCTTGTAAAGAGGAGACTTGACCTTCGATTGATTGTGACATCTGTCACATTAGATGCAGAGAAATTTTCAAGTTATTCCTTTAACTGCAATATCTTTACAATTCTTGGAAGAACTTATCCGATGGAGATACTCTACACCAAATAGCCAGAAAGTGACTACCTAGATATATCTCTAATCACTGTTATAGAGATCCACTTGACAGAACCTGAGCGTGATATCCTCCTCTTCTTGACTGGTCAAGAGGAGATTGCTCTCTCTCCATCTCTCTCCCTCTCCTCTCTTCTCCTCTCTCTCTCACAACTCATACACATATAAACATCCATGTATATAGTATGAAGTTAAACTGTTGAGCAAATGCTTCTTAGAACTCCAAAACACACTAACTGTGAGATTTGGTTTGACAAAACTCTTTTTAGAACTGTAAAACATATAGCTATGAGCTTTGAAGCTAACTTGTTTGATAAAATGTTTCTTAGAAAAAGAATCATAGAAAAAAACAATTACAATTTTCTCTAGTTTGTTCAAAACAACAGAGAAAATTATGATTGTTTTTTTGTTTCTAGGTAGCCCAAATTTCTCTTGGTTTGGTTTGATTTTGAATGACCAATAATAAAGAAGTTTTAGATAACCAGAAATATCCTGGTAGTAACTAGAGCAAATTCTTTGATTTTGAATGACCAATAATGGCTATGAGAAATTTGGAGAATCAGAAGCTTCTTCTGCAACCATATATCCAAAGAAAAAATATTAGAGAGTGAGAGAGAGTTTAGGGTAAGATGAGACTTGAACTTACTTTGTCCAAAGAAATTAGAGTGGGAAATCCAGAGAAATTTGGTGAGAATTTCTCTGGACAGTGGGAAGTCCAGAGAAATTTGGAGAGAAGTCCAGAGAAATTTGGCGAGAATTTCTCTGGACAGTGGGAAGCCCAGATAAATTTGAAAAGAAGTCCAGAGAAATTTGGAATTAGGTAAGGATAGATATACCCTGGAAAATTTGTAGATAAGTACAACAAAAATTTATTGAATTCATTCAAAGAAAATAATAGGAATTTCCCAAACAATTGTAGAAATTCTGAATCAATATCAACAATATAGCATGTTCAAACAAGATGAAGCACATTACAATTTCTCTGGAGAGAAGGGAAATTTCTCTGGAGAGAATTGAAGGCTAGAGAAATTTACAGTGGGAATTCTAGGGAATGTTAGAGAAATTGGAAAGTCCAGAGAAATTTTTCCCAGAATTTCTCTGGACTAATTTTATCTTTGAAGTTGAATTTTCTCTGGAAGTCTAGGGAATGACTTCTTCTCTTTCTTGTCTATGCTAAGGTATGGCAAGATCTTACTATCAACCACCTCATCTTGTTGGACTTGATCTACAAAGAGCACTAGGATTAGCAAACAGAATTTTGATAGCAACCCTTCATGAAAAGATATTTGTAAGAGAACATATAAAATGCATGATGATGCAGAGTTTCCTGGATTGTGTGAATTTTCTCTGAACTATCTAAATTTTCTCTGGATGTCTAAATTTTCTCTGGACTATCTGAATTTTCTCTGGATAAAGAGAATTTCTCTGGATGTCTGGAGAGAATTTCTCTGGAAAGTCCAGAGAAATTCTCTGGATCGAATTTTCTCTGGATTGATATTGAGGGACCTTGGACATTATGAAAATATTGAGTGTCCTTTATGCTATAAATTCTTAATATCAGGGACCTTAAAAAAAATCCCCCTTAAAACTATTTCAAGAAAGAAAAGGGATATTGAATGCTATAAAATTTAATAATTACTACAGTAAATTCCAGCATTACCCTTCTACTTGGAAACTATATTTCAAGCAAGTGTATATTGAATATTATAAAATTTAATAACCATTACAATAAATTCAAGTAGTTGAAGAACCACCCAATTAATTACACATTTAATAATTATAAAAAATCAATATATTATTTCACTATCTTTTATTTAGTAGTATTATTATTTACTTGTTAACACTTTTCTAATTCAAATGGTCCGTACATTGAGGGAAATTCTAATATACACTCTCTTTAAAAATGGTGTATGTCATATGCACTCTTGTTATGCTATTCTCTTTTTTAGTTATGACTAATTTTGTTCTTTGATTATAATATTATCTTAATTACGACTCACGAATTGTTTAGTTATGCCTTATGTTATATTTAATTATAATATTTTCTTCTTTTTCTAATTATGACTCAAAAATTAAAATTATATAATTTTATTTTTAGTTATAAAGTACATATGCACCATGTTGTTTTCCGTTAACAACTTTTCTCAACAAAACAGACTTCATTTGTTCAGGCAATGAAACCTCTCTGTATTCACCCAAAAAAGAAACCTCTCTGCCCAATAGAATAGTTCTTTACAACACTGAAAACAGTATACTACACTCTCAAATTCAGTGGGAGTTTCAAATACCAATCCCCAGATGGGTTTAGCATTAGTGCCAATGTCACGGCCTCTGATTCTATTCATGCATGTTGTTGTTATGGTTCTCATGTGTTTCGGTTCAGGCTCTCCTCATGTTCATGTTGCAGGCTCTGTGCATATCGGGAATGAGACTGACCGGCTAGCACTGCTCGCGTTCAAGGCTGAAATAACCAGTGATCCCACTGGGACTCTGCACTCATGGAATGAATCAATTCACTTCTGTCAATGGGTTGGCGTAACATGTGGCCACCGGCACCAGAGGGTCACTGTGTTGAACCTAACTCACCTACAATTGACAGGGTCAATTTCGCCTCACATTGGAAATCTGAGCTTTCTTGGGCAACTAGGATTGTATAATAATAGCTTGAGTCAGAAAATCCCACCTGAACTCGGTCGTTTGCGTAGGCTGCAGTTAATGTCATTATATAATAATTCACTTAGTGGTGAAATTCCCGCCAATATATCTGGTTGCTCTGACCTCGTTTCCCTTTCATTTTCTGGTAATAGATTGGGAGGGAAAGTTCCTGCCGAGCTTGGTACCCTCTCTAAGCTCAAGAGGTTGTATATTCGCAACAACAATATAATAGGAGGAATCCCTTCTTCTTTTGGGAATCTATCTTCTCTAACTTTATTCCATGCAGCTCATAATAATATTAGTGGGAATATACCTGAAGCCCTAGGTCGATTGACAAACTTGAACCTTCTTGCATTGGAGGTGAACAAGTTGGTCGGTTTTATTCCTTCTTCATTCTATAATCTCTCTTCTATCACATCTTTGAATATAGCAATGAACCAAATTCAAGGAAGCCTTCCTTCAGACCTTGGAATTGCTTTCCCTAATCTTCAATGGCTTGAAGTTGGAATGAATTTGCTTACTGGATCCATTCCTATTTCAATATCTAATGCCACCAAGCTATATCTCCTTGACTTTGAAGCCAATAAATTTATTGGAAGAGTGCCTCCTTTGGGAAACATGCACGATCTTGAGTGGTTAGACTTTCAAGTGAATCATCTCGGAGTTGGGGAAGGTGATGATGACTTCAGGTTTCTCCACTCGTTGGCCAATGCCACCAAGTTACGCTTTCTAGACCTGAGCGACAACAACTTTGGAGGGGTGTTGCCTGAATCAATAAGCAATTTGTCTACTAATCTTGGTCAACTACACTTGCAGGGCAATAAAATAGTTGGGAGCATCCCAACCGGAATAGTGAAGTTAGTCAATTTGCAGCTTCTTGACATGTCGAACAACCATTTCACAGGTAACATTCTTGCTGATATTGGGAAGCTTCAAAATCTGCGGATTCTTGAACTTCAGGGTAATAAATTCAATGGGGAAATCCCATCGTCTCTGGAAAATTTGACATTATTAACCACTCTTTATCTAGAGGAAAATAATTTCCAAGGCAACATCTCTTCAAGTCTGGGAAAATGCCCACTTGTACAACTCAATCTTGGTAGAAACAATCTTGCCGGTACCATACCCAAAGAAGTTTTAAGTCTCTCATCATTATTGTACATGAACCTATCTCAAAACCATTTAGTTGGGTCCCTGCAATTGGAAATTGGAATTTTAATAAATCTTGAACAACTAGATGTTTCTGGGAACATGTTGTCTGGTAAAATTCCAAGCACTCTTGGTAGCTGTGTAAAATTGAGATTAGTGTTAAAATTTATCACCTACTTCACCCACTTAAACCTACTCCACTAAACCTAACCCACTACACCACTACACCCTC